TTAGACTTTATTCAAATAGTCAAGGAGTGAAGTTTCATTTCCCTATCATTATGTAATCATAGTCCAGGTGAATTTCTAAAACTCATTCACGGTATCTCGGATTGACGGATTCTTTTCATTCCACTTAGAGATTGTCTTCCCCATCTAAGTTCTTCAAAGCATTGGGAAAAGGAAATCTGCTTTATTTCTGCTTTCATTAAGTGAGAATGATCGCTCCACCACATGTTGACGTTGCTCATTGAAATGTCCAAAATCTTCCATGTTATCTCTCGAAGCCTAATAACTTTAGCATATAAAAACACAGAGGATATTCGATCACCTATATTGTGTGTATGAATTTTAATGATTCATCGGATCGATTCCCACTGAAAATATGTCTTTTCGAATACACAGTAAATGTTTCATCGCGTCATGATATTTCAGCATGCATACTGTTCAATAATAGAGTGCTGTATTAGATGTGTTGCGAAAGTGATCGGTAATCACAATGATCATTCACGTACGATATCGATTAGTGCGGGTAGAGATCGTCTGTGCATTGCAAGTCAAAAACGTTATCAGCTCACTTCCCTGAGATTGCCTCCAAAAACTCATCAAATGTCACCTCAGTAAATCGTCACTGTTAATGGATGGACAAATAATCACTGACAAATTTCATATAAATTAGATTTTATTGCCTTATCACAGTACCTTCATTAAAATTTCTCACAATCACTTCGTTGTCCAGTTCATTTTTAGCAATATTCGATCTTATTTCACTTCATTTGTTTGCTAGCATTCTCATTTCGTAATCATAAAATTTGTTTACTTTCGAAAAATGGGACACAAATCCGAGTTTATTGCTTTCTAAATTAGCGATATTTTTATGTCTTGTTCATTGTTATTGATCGAAACAACCGTAAACATCTCGTTAAGCCTTCATTAGTTGGTCGGTTATGTTTGTCTAATTCTAAAATTATTTTGCGTTCTTTCATTGCATCGACTCGTCGCTTGGTTTATGGTTAGCCTGAAGATTGGACGCAACATTTCAGAATCTTGACTTATCACTTCATTGCTATCACAAATCTGAAAGGAATTTAGTGACTCGAACTTCTCATTAATTTAACAACAGAATCATGTCAACTAATCATATTTTAAGCTTTTAATCTCAAACACTCCATTTGAATAAACATGCAAATTGAACTTCGTTTGCATTTACACTGATAATTTTGAATAACTGAACGATCAACAAAAACAGCAAATGATGAATTAAGAAGCACTCATAAAAGTTTCAGAAGTTCGAGTTAATTAAGATTTTCAGAGAGCAAGCAAAAGCACACTTGTCAGCACAACCATTGCAGCCTTCATTGTACATTCTGTCCATCATTTCATCTCTTTCAGACTGCCTATCCAACTCGGGTGAATCACTCAACCAGCATTGAGCTTCAATTTTATTTCAGTTGATGAATGCTCCTCGATCAAAACTTATGTGATTCAATAAAAACGGGCTCGAAGCGTTCGAATCTTACTCGATCTCAATCAGTTCAACAGAGTTCTACGTGACTCCTCGTTATTCTTTCATTGTATACTCATATTTCGGACGTATCGTTGTATTCTCACACAGTGATACGTCCAGAACACTCATAATCACTTATAATTTTAGCTTGCTCGGAAGTTTAGACAGAAAGTATTGCACAAGATCCATAAATTTTGTTGCATGCAACGAAATAATTTCCAGTCATTTATGGGATAAAGAAAGTGATCCTAAACCGATTTCCAATTCTTTTCGATTGTAAATTTCTTTGGAATTCATCGAAACTGCAACCCAGTTCGGCTGTGCAATCTCAACTGCATATTCTCGTAACCTGATTTTCGTTCGCCACAATCGAAAACAATTTTTCAGCTTACACTCAACTCCATCCGAAACGTGCTTATTGCACACTCCACAGATTGAATTATCATTGAGGTTGTTCAAGGATTACGTAAAATATATCACTCAATGTCAACCTTTCATGAGTGTTAGAAATGTTCAGAAAATTTCATTTTTGATCCTCTTTCTCAGTCCATTTATTACCATGAGAATCCAACTGCATTGTAATCGCAGTAATTGAACCGCTTGCATTGTCATAGTTTTATCTTCGCTGTGAAAATGTGCTAAAGAGCCGAAAAGTGAGCTAATTGAATGAATGTTATCGTTTTTCTTTAACATCATCATTCGGCCGTTGAACTACATTCAGCTACATTCTTAACCATAATCGTTTTATTCCTGATTATTGAATCACAAAAATCAGTCGATTTGGGTTTTTGGTGGATGTTTCGGTTGAACCTTCTCTGATTATTGAAAAAAACTGTTGCTTTGCTTCATTTATTTGAAAACTGTTAGAGCATCTTCCTTTCACTTCACCATTTATCTTAAGTGACTGGGAATGGTGATCACCGGGCTTTTCTTTTCTTTTCAGATTGTTCTGATTTCTGGGATTTTTTCAAATGTTTTCTTCGAGAAAGTTGGTGAATGATCCCTAGCCAATAAAAGAGAAATAATTTTTTTTTCAGGTTCTGGAACGGGCTTGTTCTTTGTAGGATATAAAACAACATTTATTTCATAGATTGAATAGCTTCCCAGAACTGATATTTTATTTTCTTCTGTTTTATAAATTTTCTTATCAAATGAATCATCTATTCGATTGCTGAATCGAAAACATTTTCCAAGATGCTTGTTCTCATCTCATTTTCGTTTCATCTTCTCAAAATTCTCATCGAACCGTTAGCTAACAAATAGACCACCACCACCACCATAAGTATTCAGCTCAGTTCTCGTCGTTCACGTACTTCGAAGTGGCTAACTGACAATCTCATACTCTTCTCATGGCATGTCTTTATCTACTCATCAATTATCACGACGTCATCTTCGTTTCACTTCTCTGTTCGGTCGTCAACACACATACATATTTTCACGGATATCGTTTATACCTCTTATGTGTTCGTCATCTTTCAAACATTTATGGCTAAATTCGATGTGATTGTTTTTGATTTGATCATATTAAATTCATTAAATTCTCCAAATTCCATCCGAATTCAGTTCGATATTGACGAAATAAATTATTTCCCAGAAACAAATGCAAACACAACTGAATTCCGTGACTGATCGCTGTGGAATTTGTTTCGTCCGTCCGCGGAAACGATCTTCAGTTGGAGAAAACTGAAAAGAAACGAATGAGAAGAGAACGAAATTCGTTGTGTTCTCGAATCAATTTTTCGTTTCGCGATGCATTCGACTGCTATCAAACAGCTAAACGCTTCTGCGCGAATTCATGCCAAAAATCACTTCCTTGACGCAAATTCAGCTTTTATCATGCCCTTGCTACTTGCATTTTCGTCCAATAAAATAGCGCATTCGTGATAGCACTGAAGGATTGTGCTCAGTGAAAACAGGATCAACACAGATTTCTGCTTCGAATTATTACGCTTTCAATCGCTGCAAATTGCCACAAAAGATTTTTTTGTGGCTTTTGCTCCGTCTTTTCGGGTGCACTTTGTATGTATTTTGCTGCAAATAGTTTTGTCAAGACTGTTGAAGAGAAATGAACGTAACTGAAATTTGATTTTGAAACGATGAAATTTTGAAGAAGCGAAGGAGAGATCGAGATGAGCGATGATGTAATCTTGTGTAACGGTATGCTAACCAAAATGAATGATCGCTTCGTCATCATTTCTGAATTTTCATAGGAGCCTCATGAATGCGATTGTGTATTCAATCATATGATTTGATAGTGTTCAATCGCTAACGAAAACTGAGAAGCAGTCGAGCTGCCGACTCATCTCCCACCTTTCTGTTGTCATCATTCAGTTTCTCACTTTATCGTCATCTTCCAACCTTTTTCTTTTCCTTATTTCAATCACAAATGAAAACGCTTCTTGCGTGTCAGAATGTCTTCGCAAACGAATGCGTATTTTTATGATCTAAGGGAATAAGCATAAATTCGTTCCATTCATGATGTGTATTATTTTTGATTCGTTGGAACAGACACTTGCCATTTCCTGAAATTTTATTCCTTTGATATTGCTGTTTGAAATGTTGGAGCAGCATCGCGAAACGAGCACACTGCTTATGTTTATGTATTTCAAATGGAAATATGTTTATGTTTAAAGAAACGAAGAAATTCTTGATCGAATTCTGAATCATTAATCGAATTTATTCATGTTCCTTGTTCACAGCTGTGAGCCACTACCGTTGATATAGCAATAATTAAATTGCACAATTAATTCCCTTCCATTTCTTGCCACATATTTCACAAGTTTCCCACTTCGAACATTCGCAGTATTCTTCTTGAATACCACTTCCACTGAATACCACTTCCACTTCACACGTCCATCAGTAGTAAGTATTCTGTTCTATTATCAAAAATTTTATGAGTATCTCTCCTTTCGAACAACGATTTGTGTAGGCATTTATCTGCTCAAGCGTTTTTCTTATCGATATCTAAAGTAGAAAGCTGAAAGCATACTAACTGATCACTAGATTTCTCGTAAAATATCAGTTCCATCTGTTTGAACAAATTCAACTTAAAAGTTGAAATGAATTCTTGATGCATCAGAGTGATTCACCTTTCAAAACGGTAGAATAGAATCAACATAAAATCGTGATGCTCTTAAGATTAATTGATTCTCTTGATTATTGAGAGAATCTTATCGACTAGATACAATTGAAGATTATTTATAGTGATAAATTTTTGAGCCAACTCAATTGTTACGCTTGAAATCAAGAAACATTGACAGTAATGAAAATCACACTAATAAATATGTATTTCGTGAATCACTCTAATAAAATGAAATGAAATGCATGAAGATTCTTGTTTGAATTCTATGGAAGTTGAACCTCTTTGAATGTCTGCTGAGCCATGCTGATGCGTTTATAATACATGATCGGCGATATTTATCGTGTATATAATATCCATTGTTGGTGACCGATTCTGTTCGTGTGAATTTGTAACGGCGAGCATAAAATTGATGGAAATTAGAGGATGCTGAATAGTGATGCGACGCTGATTGGATCAAGATCGCTGGAAATGCAGATGACAATGACGAATGTTGTCGGTAATCTAAATATATCACCAATATACACCCAAACAATACCTCAACAAAACTCAATTTTATTCGAGAACACGAATCAGTTACCTCATATCACTATACCTAATAATTATCAACAACAAGCACTCAACAACGATACCAACGATAACAGCACTAATAATAACACTAATAATATAGCTACGAATATCAATTTAACCTCTCAGCAGCAGCAGCCAATACAATCTACGAGCACAACCAATAACACTAATTTGTTGAATCAACAACCTGATGGCACCTCTTTTCTGCCTCCGATTACGTTGCAGCAAATGTCTATGCAGAATCAAATGCGTATGCTTACAGCGGTTAGTTATACATTTTATGATTTTGATATTATCAGTTTTTCAGCAACTTTCAGCTCCCATTTTTCATTTGCATTCACTTACGATTAGTAATTTGTCTACATTCATGGACTATCTCCAATGATGTATTCAGTTTCCTTTATGAAAGCAGTCGCAAAGACACATTCAAGATTCATGCCCAAACGCACACTCATGCTCATAGAATCCGACCTGAGGTGCTGAACCTAGATTCGAATGAGTGTTTTTGTCAAGTGAAGTAAATTTCAGCAACGTTCGTTACCTTCATCGATTTCTTATCAGCAAGCAATATTAGCCTCTAACGATATGTCGTTATCGCCGAATAATAACGCGAATAATGAATTTAATCGGAATTACTATGAATATTCTAATCAAATGATCCAACAACAACATCTTCATTGCATACCCACGCAGGTTGCAATTAATTTCATTGGATTTGCATGCTTTGTGAATTCTACGAATGTTTGCTGTTAGGTTAATTCATAGAATGAATTCACACCGAGTTCACTCTATAGATAGCTTTTTGTTACACATTTATATAAGCGGATTATTGCATTCGTTCTTTCCAAACGCTCTCCACTCGAAATTGATTACTTTTACCGGAATGATCACTCGTTTTTTCGTGTTGCACATCTCTGGAGGTAGTTAGCCAATGGTTGTATGAAACCAGGATTAGCCTAAAAAAATGCATCTGATTGAAGATGCCAAGCAGTCGAATGCCATCTGAAACGTCCGCAGCGATGGCATCAGTGATCGCGCCACCACCCGTTCACATGTATCCAACTTCAACCCATTTCTCCTCAAGGCCCTCCTCTTCGTCCTCTTCCCATCACGCAACCGCATCCGCCACCGACCCGTGTGCACAAATCGCTCATGTTCTTCAGTGCTATCAACAAGTATGATTCGTTCACGTATTCAATTTCACTTCATTATTCTCATTACATTTCCTTCAAAACCGTTTACTGCTTGTTATTCACATTCGGTAAAATTCTCATTCATCACTTATTAAATGTTAATGATGGTAACCGACCGAAATTCGATCGGTGATCCGATGAATTTTGATCGGAAGTCCGAGATTCTAATTCCGACCGAAGAATTTTCAAATTCGGTCGGAATGTCGAATTTTGAAATATTGAAAAGTCGATTCGCTCGGATTCCGACCGAACTGAAATTTCGTTCGGATGCCATCAATACTAGAAGTTATGCAAACTGTCCTTCAAAATAATTTCTTAAACGAATAGAACCATCAATAATTTACATGTCTAACATATACTAGATGAATGAATCACTGAACGATTGTCAATTCCAAGCGATTGTTCCAAAAGTGATTATTCACATTTAGGGTGGTGAAGATGCTGAGTTTGTAAGGAAAGCAATCGAAAGTCTCGTCAAGAAACTGAAAGATAAACGAAATGAATTAGAGAATCTTATAACGGCGGTTACATCCGGTGGAAAGCAGCCTACGTCTTGTGTTACGATTCAGGTACCATCAATGGAATATAACATGTTTTTTTTTCTTCGCTTTCACTCAATGTCCTTCAAGTAATTTCCAGTATGCATAACAAATTCATTCGAGCTTTTGAATTAATGAACAAATGTAAACGTAAGACATATGCTGCTGAGAATGCAGTAAGTGATCTGATGTCAAATCGAGATCATGTTTATAATTGCAGCGTTCATTAGACGGTCGTTTGCAAGTGGCAGGTCGTAAAGGTGTCCCCCATGTCGTTTATGCCCGCATTTGGCGTTGGCCGAATGTGAGCAAGAATGAACTGCAAAAATTATCGATTTGCGGAGTGACTCCTGATAATCAGGTCGGGTAAATCTCATCGACATAAATGAATGTTCAGCTGACATCCTAAGACTTTACTCAAATGACAGTGTGTAGGCGATTTTGAGATATTCCAATTTCATGAGATTTTTGATGTTTTGAATGATTCAGTACGTTTTTTGTGTTATTTTCCTGTCATTTTAGGATGTAATTTGCATCAATCCGTATCATTATGAAAGAGTTGTTTCATCGGCGATTGGAAATATTGGTAAGTTTCGATTTCTTTCTCCTATATTGCAATCAACAAATCGATTCAGTGAAATGACTAACATCATGAGAAATATTCAGAATGAAAGTGAATTGTTAAGTTATGAAACAAAAGCGAACATAACAATACTCATACGAAGTGTTTCCATCAATTGACCTAATCAAAATGATAACTGATCGCGAAAAATACTTGAAGATATGTCAACACTGCGATTGGATTCGTTATCATCAGTATCAGTCATCGCACACACCAATCCCGTTATGGTACCATCCCTGCACAACACATCCCACCCCTCATCTGCACACAATTTATCTACAAACAATGTTTGCAACGATCCCTCACAGCAGGTCATTTCTTCTTTCTGATTGTAATAGTCATCGTGATTGCCATTATTACTGTTATCATTACTACGTTGATCAAAACTGAATATGCAGAGAATCAAAATAATGTATGCCACTCACCTCTAGAAAGGGTTGGCGAATTGAAAGCGAAATTTGTTTCAGAATCATTTTTCGGAAGTATCTTCACACTCGTCGAATGATGGCGTTTCAATGATGAGGCAGTCCTCAGACGCACAAAACGTGAATCCATGGATTGGTCAGGGATGTGCTATTGGTGCTTCCACTGCCAATCAGCTCTATCAACAATCGCAAGGTTACGAAAGTTCATTCAGCTCTTTGAACTGCTCATTTCACTATGCCGAGAGTTTCTTTTCAAAATTGATTCTGCCAAAGTCCATTCATGATCATTTTAAGGTGCATATCAATTGCGAGATGCGTGTCGAAATTTTCCAATACGCTCTCCACGATGTAAGCTCGATTCTTTTTCATTCAGACTTACCCTTCATTCAAAAGGCTTTTAAATCATAGTCGATGAATCACTCACGCTATTATCTGATTTTTCTTAAGTCAGAAATAATGTTCTAGGTTAATCATAGAATTGATAGTTGCAGTGAATAATTCTATGTGCAATTATTTATTTGATGATAGCAGAAGTGAGTAGTTTAGTGGTAACTGTGATTGTAATAAAGGTGATGATTTGTCATCGATAGTTTTGTCATTAATATTCGTTATTTCAGATGATCTTAACGCAGTCGTTCTCCCTCTGACCACTCGTATGTTATTTTTGTTGACACTTCTCATTCACTATTCAGTTTTTCAATGATCGAACGACTCCGAATTCAACCCGAAGCAACGGATTTTTCCCTTCTCGAGAAGCATTTCAGACAGTTTGCCTTAGCAATAACTCAGTCAGCTGGAAAAAAAAGTTCACGCAGTTAGCACGCTTTCAATGAATATGAAGAGTAAAATATAATTGAATTGTTGATTGCAGCTCCAGACCACTGGTGTTCAATATCGTATTATGAATTGGATACACAAATCGGCGAAACATTCAAAGTTCGTAAGGAACAATCTGAGGTAGTTGTTCCGCTTCAACANCTTCTGAGATATTATCACATTATTACATCATTTCCTCATTTATTATGGTATCATTTCCAATAAAAACTCATTAGCTGTTCAGGTTTACATTGACGGAGGCGTTAATCCGGCTGGTGTCAAATCAGGACGATTTTGTCTTGGAGCCCTGCCGAATGTTCACAGGTGTGAAGCATCTGAGAAGGCAAGGTAATGATAGTCGCATTCGTTGTGGGTTTTGTTTGTTTATTGACTCGTTCAAATTGCATCCGGCCATAATTTTGTGATATATCTATCGCAAAACGATATTCAGATTACACATTGGCAAAGGAGTTCGCATATCAACTCAACGTGACGGCAGTGTCTATCTGGCTTGCTTATCACATAAATCCGTCTTTGTGCGAAGTTATTATCTGGATTTTGAACATAACATCGAATATGGCATGACTGTCCACAAATTTTGTTCGGGTGCACCCAACAGAAAGGTGAATCATCTCGCTTATTCCGATTTTGATTTGCTTATTCCACTGTTGATGAATATCGGATCACTTAGGCTGCAATCATTTTGAGAGGAACGTGAAATTTTCTCTCTAATCTTGATTGCATTCATGCAGTTATTCGTTCATAAGTACCACTCTATCGGTAAAGGGATGTTTCTTTGACATTCTATTGCGTGAAAATGTATGGCTCAATTTTGGTGAATTAAATCATATTCTGTCGACTGAAGAACAACCGAACTCGTCAAATAAACCAGAAATGATCCGTATAGAAGAAATTAGATTGGCGTTATTCACCCATAACATTGCATTGATATGCAGAAAATGATTCGCATCCTAGTTGATGGTATAAGCAATGCATTTTATTCAAGATATTCGATTTGCGATGGGCTTACGCAGAAATGGAGCAGCAAAACGAATCGGCTCGTTTCGCAGTGGTCGCGCAAGCAGCTGCAGTTGCTGGTTATCCATCAGCCACATCGTTAACGCCATCCCTCATTGAACATGCTGGAACTGGAGTTGATGATCTCAGAAGGGTCACTTTTCTCATCATTGCAATATACTCTATTATACTTCAATAACATTGCCAGTAAGCGATAGTGTGTACAGTTGGGGAACTTACTACTTTCAGGTGTGTTGTACGATAGCAATTTCATTCGTCAAAGGATGGGGACCAGGTTACAATCGAACATCAATCAAAGAAACGCCATGCTGGGTTGAACTGCAATTGCATCGACCGTTGCAGTTGCTTGATCAATTGCTGAAAAAGAATGAAGATTATGGTTGTAAATGATTGACAAATTCAACATCTAACTTAACATTTCATTTTGCCATTTTGTTAACGTTTTTGTGATCCGTTCGATTCTGTTGAACAGCAAAAGAAAAACTATTATTGAATCATTTATATTAGTCACGTAAACATCATCCAAGCGCTGTCATGCGTAACATACGTATAGAATTGCATTTTAGTCTGATAATGGATGCGTTCTGATAATGAATTGCTGATTCTTAATGAGGTTGAAAGTTTGCGATTTCATCGATCCGGGCTTGTCTGTGTTAGTGAATCTGATACGAATAAATTTATTCACAACATTTAGATTCATTATGAATCACTATTCGGGTGTACTGAATGACTTTTGATTCGCCTTCATCTCAGCCGATTCAATTATCTTAGGAATGTATCAATTTCCTTCGTTTTCACTCGAAATTCGTCTTCTTATTTTCCGCGTCAACCAAGTTTTGTGTTCTCCACTCATCTCAGTATTCCCATTCCAACTTTCGTATTCATTTCAGCTATAATCCACTCATTCTCCTCAACATTCAATTTCGATACTAAGTAATTTCTTCTCAATGACTTTTCAGATCTATCGATCACTCCCATCCACTGAAATGAACCCACAATCACAGATATTATCATTCTACAGTTATTCAGCTCCATCATAATCAGCAACTAAACTGTATCTTTGGGAATACAGCTCTTGTTTGATTTGCGTATTTTTCAGTCATCCGAATTTGTTTTAATTCACTTCAAATCTCGATTCTACGGTTCATTATGATGCAATTTTTATTTATTTATTCACATTTGTTCTTCCATTGTTGATAGTAATTTGTCTATATGATAATTCCATAGCGAGTTTTGTTCTTAATGGCTTCATGTTACAATACTTGTTTAGTTTGTGAAGTCTAAGTAGACGTACAGCTGAGGGTTACGGTATGAAAGGAATTTGGGATTACAGGCGGAAAGTAGACATAGATGAAAATCAATACTCAAAGTGCAAAAAGTGTAAAGTTCGAGTGGCATTTGACGTTGATATTAAATCTGTTGCGTTTCTGGGATATCCGAAAGTAACTCAGAATTTTCAGTGGATTCCGTCCGCTATTCTTGGTTNTGCGCACTGCAAGTGTGTAATCATGTAAATATGCGTCAATTAGTTTATTAGCTTGATTCATTAAATATAATAAGTTTGTGAAGTCGCTTTCAATCTTGTAGAATTCATGTGCATATCTTTTTTCGTTGATATTCATTTGTTGCCTTTGAATTCTGTTTATTCTTACTCGAACCAACGACATGATAATCACCGCTCAAATCATGTGTAATTAGTTAAAGAATTATTGATGTGAATAATTATTGAAATTTCACTCAGAATAGTGTTTTTATTAATGTTGTATTGCATCGTATTCCACTTTTGATGTGAACAAAAGTTTTTGCCGGATGAAATAATATCCCGTATATGCTTTATAAAAATAGCTTGAAAATTTTATTGTTTCTATTGTATAACATTTTCGAGCACGTTTTCTAATAAGTGTGAAAATTTTCTAGACTGCGCTATATTCATAGAAAATTCATTCATTCATTGTCACTATGACTAGTGTTCATCTTGGAAGGGCGACCCCAACAGAGAACCCTTCTCCGACGATCGCAACTTTTTGGCCGAATTCCCTTTTTAGGCCAAAAGTTACTGCTTGATAAATATTAATTGACAGTGTATCTATTTTTTCTTACTACTTCAGTTCTCGAAAGTTGTTGTTTCGGTAATATAAATTCGATGTGCCTTATTGTGAAGTGCCATTTTGTTCAATGAAATATTAATAATATGTATTTATACTTTTTAATTTTTATCATATTCTTGATCCTTCCCTTCGTTCTTTTGTGAACTTTTGTGGTCACTTTGTCGTCTTCCTTCCTTACTTATTTCATTACTGTAATCGATCACGTTGTCTAATTATGTGCCTCATTGGATAATATCAAATAAACAATAATCATATCACGAAATAACCACAGAAACCTAAAGAATATCTGCTCAAATCACAGTATTGAACGCTGACGGTGAACCATAAGATAAATGAAGTATTTGTTAAGCGGTCAGCTAACAAATTCGTCCAGCAAGAATGCGGGAACAGGGGAACGTAACTGTTTTAGTCTGTTTCAGACGCACGTAACTGTTTTGCTCCGAAATATTATTTTCTGCTGTTCCATATCAACGAAAATAAATTTATCTCTTTGCTGAATAAAAATAACAATTTCAATAACAACAACCATAATAACAACAGTAAACTTAAAAGAGGTACACACACAACCGAACACGATTNCCATTTCCATTACATTTTCATCACATCGGAAACAATTCCGATTTGGTGACGGAAAAGATAATGGAAAGTTTTCTCATTGAAAGAAATCTATCAAAACTCGTGCAATCAAACTCTCACTTCACCAAAATTCCATTAACCGTAAAACGACCCTTGCTGAGAGTGAATGTTGGTGTTTCAAGAACGAATTACAGGTTTGGTTAGCATTAATTACACGAATCACAAAGTTTCTGCCTCATCTAACATATGGAAAATTTTATTCCAACAGTTTTTTCACAAAAAAATTAACTCACAACAATTCCTAATTTAGAATATGGGAAGTATTGTCAATGAAAAGAAATTCGAGAATGAAAGTATTATTTTGAAACAATTCAAGCGAATACGCTCTAAGCGGATAGCTCTTTGTGTGCGCTAAATGGAGAAACTCAGAAAGGCGTTCAATGTGCTTGTTTCAATCTTGCTTTCGGTATTTCCTCGTCCTCGTATTCAATCTCAACAACTGGACGTTTCCTTCTGATTAGACGTTTCCTTACTTCTGTTACCTTCTCCAATTTCTTTTCGGCAACAGATTTCTTCTTGTTGTCCTTTTTATTCATTTTTGTTGGTTTCTTATTCGTTCCACTTCCATGTGCCTTCTTCTGTAAATGAAATGTGATCATGCAAGAATAATTCATTCACAATATTGATCATTCAATTCAACAGTTTTTTACTTATTGCAGCGCAATATGAATTTCTCAACGTTGAAAAACCCAACTTTTTGTGAATAACACCCAAAATTTGAAGTTACCGATACAAATGCTATTTGCATCGTTTTCAGTTGCATTAATGTATAAATGAATGACCGTTTTATAATTAACACTTGATATATCATTACAAGACGTTAAATTTCTGAGTACTAAACAATTAATCCAATCATCAACTTCGACCTGACCTTAGCAACCTTAAATTCGTATGATTTCAGAAGTTAAGGAGCTAACCCTTCAAAAGCAAGATTCTACAGGACATCAGTAAAATATGGAAACGCTCTCTTTGAAACAATAAATCTAATTCAAGAAATGCTCAATCGTGTGATACCGACCTGCTGGTCATCCTCATCCAACGACTCTTCACTCTCATCCTCACTTCCTTCTGAGTTCTCCTCTTCCTGCTCCGATGAGCTCTCCTCATCTGAATCATCATC